TATGTGCTTTGGCACTAGCTCCACTATTATTTTCTGGCTGTGTAAGGTAAGGAGTCATATTCGGTATTTCTTGGAGTGTATTGTTGTCTGCGGAGCAGGACACTTCGTGTCTGGTTTTGCTAATATCGATTTCATTACTTGCCTTGGTAATGATCTCGGTATTATTTTTTGATGATTCGGTAATTTCACCATTAGTATATGTTGAGACAGCAGAGTTAGTGTCAGTGGCAGGCACGTAAGTGTCATTATTCCACAATATGCCACAAGTCTTCGACTCAAGACACATATTACCATCGATTTTTTCTATTGAATCCATGAAACTTTGTTCCTCATGCAGTGTATTTTTTCCACGTATAAAGTATTTACTGAGATCAGTACTATCCAAAGATATATCATCAGACATGGTCATGGAACGTTGTTCTTCGCTCTGCATATTTTTTTCGTCGTTTCCACCAAGTACGGGCTTTGATATAGCCTCCGATTTCAGACACTCAAGTTCACTGACTTTTGAAGCTAGCTCATGTTCTACTTCAGCTATTTTAGACTTGAGGGATAATATCTCAGATTCTTTTTTCGATGAGTCGTTTTGAATCGAAAAAGCATCTTCCTGGGCTGAAGACAACTTACCTTCCAATATCTCAATCATAGACTCAAGCGATCGAATTTTCTTAGATTTTATATCATTCTCAGCTTTGGACTTTGCAAGAGAAATGTCTTTATTAGCGTTTTCAATTTGTAAACGCCTAGCTTCATCAATGAGTTCGAGATCATGTGTACGTAATTTCTGAATCATAATATTGGACCCACCTAGTTTCTGACTCCATTTTTCTCTCTCCTGTTCCCAACCTCTCCGTTCACGATCAAAATTTTGCTCTTGGTTTATATACCTGTCTTGTAATTTTTTATTACGAGAATTTAACCCGGATATAACTTCCACAATACGATGCGAAGATGAGTTAGAAATCCAAAGCTTTGGATCCTTTATATTCCGCGCATTGGCCATATATTTCGCTCAGTTATATGTAACAAAAAAATAATAATTGTAAATTCGCAATGTATAGAAATTTGTTGATACCAAAAATAATTAGTACAGATGTTTATATATTTTAAAACAATCTGAAATATTTGGAAACATTTCGAAATATGTGGAAATATTTATATAATATGGATATTTTTTTTTAAAATATTTATAGTGAAGATAGCATCGAGTCATATATTTATATATACTCCGACATGGGTCGTATTCATAAAACATACTATAGTGCAAATGCAAGATATTTATCAGATGAAGCGATCAAAGACATTAAAACATCATTCGGTAGAGTACCTGATGCCATAAATACAATGGCAAAAAAATATCGTATATCTCCTTCTCGAGCCAAAGAATATATTGAGAATCGGGAACGTAAACAGCAAATGATAAATGGATCAGAGATGAGTCAAAAACTCGAAGCTCAGCTTCCTCGAGGCTCTGCCTTTTCTTATCCGTCTCAGATACAAAATACAATTTCTTCAGAAAAAACATCTATATCTCTAGAACCGAAGGGTCATTGTTTCGCAATAAATAATCAATTAGAAGATAACTATATACCTTTATTACAGGGCAAGTCATTAGACGATGAACCGGAGGTGAGTCAAAGACTCGAAGCTCAGCTTCCTCGAGATTCTGTCTCTTCTTCGAATCATGGCTCTTCCAGCCTACATACTTCAGTTAAAGCTTCAGATAGACAGATAAAAAAGAGACAATCAAAACCCAAATCTATTCAAGTTTCTGATTTATCCACTATTAATAATACCCGGCTTGAACAAGTATTAAATGAGGAAGAGAAACAAATAGAAGGTTCAGATCATATATTAAATAGTCACTTTGTGTCTTCCTCCAGTAATTCTTAATCAGTTTTCTCTTTATTTATAGTTTCGTATTTTGATTGTAAAAGTCTGTTTCGAATATTAAGCTCGGTAATGATTTTGATAGCTCTCTCACAATTTACACATTTTTTTTTAAAGTCAAATTATCAGAATCTGTGCTAAAACCCACAGGAGCATGCCATTCTTCTAATGGTTTATTATCCTCACTCTTACTACTATTGGTATCCTGTGGAATTTGATCGGATACCAAAGGCTTATGACCCTTTAGGGTCGCCCCTTCGGGCCTGCAAAGCAATGGGACTCTGTCCCTATCATCCTGAGACGCAGTAGCACAATTTACTTCGAGTTTATTCTTGACTTTGTGCATAGTAACCGGAATAATAAAATCTTCTCCATTATAATGAATCTTCATTTTATCATTTCCCCAATCTACGGCACATTTATATTTTTTGAGAAGTGGATTTGGGAATATTAATGTCGGTTTAGGAGGGCGTACAACTACAAAATCTTCACGTATAGTAAAACCTGGGGGGAATGTTATTGGAAAATTACGAGCAACGCCAATAGATTCTATTGGAACAGTAGCAACACCGCTGAGATCATATTTTTCAGATCTATCTATTTTCCAGCCTACACGTTTAACAATATCTTCTGATACGATTGCAGGTTCAGCGCCACTATCTAGTACCAATGCCGGAATTTTTAAGCGTTTGATTTTAACTGGTATAGTTGCAATACTAATTACCGGTTCTTTCCGACGGACGAAATCTATCTCCATAGGATCGTCTAGCGTTTCATCCTCCCCATCCGAATCTGGTATTTCTGGAGCCGGCTCTCGATAATTTATAAAGTCAGGTTTTGCAGGCCCTTTAGGGATGACTCTTCGAGGCATAGATACATTCATATTATGTGCCTTGGCACTAGCTCCGCTATTAATATTGTTTTTAATCGTTTCTATAACCTCTGGATCGTTAAACATAGCTAGAATAATTTTTCGAATTTGTGAGTCGATAATCGTACCTGATTTTTTTTGTGATTTTTGTAAAGCACGTTTTTTTGGACTAGACTTCTTTTTAGAGGATGAATTACTCTTTTGCTTTACTTGTTTTTTTTTGTATTAGAAATATGTACATCATAACTATGATCGGATTCATCCTCAGATGAGGAATCCCCAGAATCAGAGTTATTATCTGAAGAATCATTATCAGAAGAGTTTGTATCTGAATCCGAATCTACAGCAACCTTATTAACACTGCTTCTCTTTTTGGATCTGCTCTTGGACCTTTTCTTACGAGTACACTTGCGAGAATTATGTCTAGTTCTATTACAATTTGAACAACGATGTTGAGATGATTTCTTAACGGCATTAACCTCTTTTGCCATTTTCGCTAAATTTAATGATAATTTTGACATACCTTTAGTAATTTCATCTATATCATTGGTACTGGTATCTTTATTCTTCGATTGTACCAGTTTCGCCGAAAACATATCGGACAATTTTTTATAAAGATCATTAGCTAGAGATTCCATAATTTGACTGGTTGAAGAAATTGGATTTATGATATCAGCATGAATAAATCTTTCAGAATTTACGCCATACCCATCTGGAGGTCTTTCTGGCATATATTTATCTGGTACTCTAGGATAATCATCGGAATTAGATCGTTTCTGTTGAGATTGTACCAGTATCATAGATTTATTTTGTAATTGGTGTGAGCTGGTTTCTGGCTGAGAAATTGTAGGTAATATATTAGCTGAAAAGCTACCCTCTGGCCTAATAGTTGAGACTTGATCAAAATTTGATCCTCCATACAGGTTTGGAGTACGTTCTAACCACATATTTTTTAATGCAATGAAAAATTCGTTAATACCTACTGGAGCATCGGACCTCATCCAAGTGAAAAGCTCACCTGGTAATTGACTTTTAAGAAATCCCAAGACTTGAGCATCATTATTGGGTACACCTAACAAAAGAGGTCGAATTCTAGTTTCGTAGGTATCCGGAGTATCAAAAGGTTGAAATCTTTCTTGAGTTAATCTTTGAATTGCAGATTGTTTGGTTCCAACTGTTTCTCGCTGATATTTTGTTCTTGCCCATGCCCTCAAAGTTGCTGGAGTATTAATGGGGGGATTACCAACAATATATGGATCATTAGCTGGTACTGGAGCATATTTTCCAGCCATCTTAGATTTTAAGATAGTACACTTGACCGCATCATCGAAATCTCCTGCATTTGCATTTTCAAGAACTGTCATATACCCCTCAGCAAATGCCCATGATTGTATAACCTTATCAAAGTAATCATCAGGAGGTTCTTGACCAATATAAGGTGAGAAACTTGCAAGAGCCGGTTGTATTAATTTTAATACTGGTAAACGTCTAGCTTCTGCCATATTTAGTGGATTATTCTGTAGTAATAAAATTTGGGCTTGTAAATTTAAAATTAATTGCTGTGAATTGCGCTGTCTATTTTTCCACTTGATATGACTTGCCTTCTGATCCTTGAATTTATTATAGTATCTATCAAAAAGCCGATCTCGATTATATTCTAATAATCCTTTATCAGCCCAACATCTTCGCAATTCTTGTTCTAATCGATAGTTTTTTAATCTATACAGAACTTCAAAAATATGCCTGAGTTTATATTGTTCTTCTAATACCAAGGTAATATTATACCACAAACGCCCTCGCATATCATATCTTTGTTGTAAATCCCTACTATTGGTATGGCATCGCTGTAATAATAATTGAATAGCGAACTTTTCTCGAATTAATTCACCAACACGTCTATTTTTATCACGATATGAGAACCACCAGCGACGACGTTCTCCCTGTTCGTTATTATAAGCTATAGTCATCAAAGTAAGATCATTCTGATAATTGTCACGCTCTTGAGTAAGTCGGTTAACTTGATTTCGTAAGTTATGTCGCTCTCGAATAATTTGATTAACTTGGTTCTGTAAGTTATCTCGTTCTTGGGTAATCTGATTGACTTGGTCCTGAAAATTATTTTGGGTAAGCTGATTAACTTGATTTTGCAAAACGATATTCCGTTGTCTATAGAAATTGACATCCTGTTGTAACTGGACTATCTGATTATCTCTGTCATCTCGTTGAGCGATAACACCATCTATATCCTGAAATGCATTTTGGTAATTAAGACATCATTCAAGGAACCTCTAATACCATTTATAATATTAATAGGATTATTTAATGGTGTTCCAGCTCCTCTAATATGATTCTCAATGCGATTTAAGCCTCTATCAATTTGTATAAAAAGGTTAAGATTCGCCATATCTATATCTTCCTCTTCTGAAATATATAAACTTGGAGAGCTTCTTCGAGAAGAAATAACTTTAAGTCTATGCCTTAGATTTTGAATCCGCTCTTCTGATTCTTGTAATTGTTTCTCTATA